GTCATATCCATGCACCCATTACTCATGGTTTTACAAGAATGGTCGGTACCCACAAAAACAAACGTAAGCTCCCACAGAGGAGCACATTCAAACACATGTGCACACCAGTGCTCTAATGGGGTCAATGTTTTTACAGCTGGCAGCAGACAAGAAACCAGTGCAAACAGCGACATCTCTGTGATTGTGTACAGCCTGGGGTGATAAATGCCCCCGAACAGAAGGCTGTCACACACTCGAACACAAACATAAACTCTGTCTACTGACAGACTGACCATTATTATCCACCAAAACTATATATGTTTTGTTTCATCCAAGGGCGCTCACACTCTTGAGGTAAACAGATAATAGGAAATCTGTTGAGTACCTCTAGCTTTTACCAAAATAATAATAAATATTAATAATGTCTTCATACATTAGGCAAAACTGTATTTGATCGTGCTCCAGATCTGTGAAACAGGGAGTGTATTTTCAGAGTGCTGTTTTCCCCATCTGTGTGACCACAGCTCTGGGCCGCTCTCCCTGCAGCTCTCTGCCTATGGTTCCCACGCCTCTTTTTGAGCTAAATACATATTTAGAGAAATACTGAGCACCAAATCATATGTTCTTTCTTCTTTAGTGAACTCTGAGCTGCCCCTAAAAAGCTAATCTTGCTTTTTGTTACCAATTTTACAATTATCCATCCTGAATCTTCCAAAGAGAGTACTAGTACTTACATTCAAGTACTAGCCAATATTACATATTATTAGAAGTATTAACGAAAGCCCTTATGATTACTTTGAAATTCCTCTACATTCCGGACATTTGTGAGCCTGGTATAGACCATCAGTTTGCCGAAGCAATAGGACGGTCTACCAACGCTCCATTGAACTTCCACAGTCCTGGTCATCTGATATCGGACCAATCACAGCACTATATCAGATTGGTTTGCGTCTTCTTGAGTTTATTTAGAAAAAGCATGTTTTTTAACCTTCTTTGAGAGAGTATGGCGGGCTGCCTTCTTGAGTGGCATATGTAACAGTGAATGTCATGTTCTTTGTTATCCAATAGCATACGGAAACAGTTTGAAAGGCAGCCACAGATCCTGCCCCACGACTAAAGCCGGGCGTACACTGTGCGACTTTTTCACCTTTTTGAGCCGATTTTCCAGTCGTGCGAGAATCCACGACATCGGGGCGAGTTTTGCACCGAGCGGTCGTGTAGTGTACAGGGGGTTACGAGAGGCGATTAACACCACGTGACCAACTGCCGATCAGCAGTCGTGAGGTCGCACGGACTTCTGGCGTGTTTGAAATTTCGCTCGTCCCTCGTGACGGTATCGCAATGTTGAAGCGGCGCTGCGAGCAGCTGCGACCCAAAAGGTATCAGAACCGCTCACGGCGCATGCGCAATCCTGCATCAACGCCGCTCTCTATTTCCCTAATAACACACGCTGTTCGTTTTTGTTTCTACACGTTTTTTTTACTCACAAAGATTGTCAAGAAAGCGTGTTTGTCGTGTTCATGTCAAATTAAACTGATCACAAAACACAGATTCATTTTCTTTATTTCTTTTTCCTCATCCAACCCCCATGAATCCCTGTGTGTCCTCCTGCAGCACTCCCGAAGGACAACAGGCAAAACAAGACAAAAAAGTCTGACGTGTTGTGTAAAAACTGCTATTTTTAGCATATTTTTAGGGCCGACGTGTTGCTACCAGACGTACGGTGTGAGCAGTCAGATCGCATGCGAGAACTGGGTCGTGCAGTGTGAGCAAATGACTCGTGAGATCTGCTCTGCGAGGAAGTCGTACAGTTTGAGCTGAAGCTGAACGCTGCGAGTGAAAAAGTCGCACAGTGTACGCCCGGCTTAAGCGGTCAGTGGGTGATGTCCAGACCATACATTTACATGTAAAGATGGCTTGCCAGGCTAGACATTTGCAGCAGTTAGAATTGTGTTAGGTATCTAATGCTGGATATGGAGGCATCACTAGATAGCATGATATAGGAATGATTTCATGACTGAGTACATGTAGACAATATCAAACAGACACCCCATACTCTTATTGGTGCAACCCTAATCCAGTTGCAATGTATTGCATTCTCCTAGGATCTTGACTCCGACTCATTCATGAATTTTAATCTATGAACAACAATTTTTGTACTATAGCACTGCTACACCTAAATAACCCAATTTCAGTTAAGAAGCTCAAAGGCAAATGAGCTTAGAGTCAACGGTTTCTATTACATCCTGTTGTACTACGGCTTTAAAGGCCTCAGAGTAATATATATTCAAGCTCTGAGAGCAGTCTGAAAAGTTGCACTTGGAAAATTGTCCTGCCATCCTAACCAGAGTTTAACAAACATCTGCATGCACATCATTAAGATCAATGAAACTTCCTAAAGTCCATTAGCAAAGCTTCTAGTCTGCACTTAAATATGCCCCGTGGTACAATCAGTACAAATTACACAAAGCGAAGCTCACTCATGTTTCCTTGTGAGGAGAAATGAATGACAAATGGATTCCTTTGTATGGAGCCATTGTGCATTGAGTTAGGCTAGTGCTTTGGAGCCATTTGAATACATGCAAAGCTGACTAAATTGGTTCCTCTGTGTGTGTGTGTGTGTGTGTGTGTGTGTGTGTGTGTGTGTGTGTGTGTGTGTGTGTGTGTGTGTGTGTGTGTGTGTGTGTGTGTGTGTGTGTGTGTGTGTGTGTGTGTGTGTGTGTGTGTGTGTTAAAGTGCTCAGGTGAGTGGATGTACGAGTAAGCTCCTGGCCCATCACAACTGGGTTCCTATAATGCACTCTCAATGGGCAAGAAGAAAACAGATGAAGATTAAGCAAAATGTAAACTCAGTGGCAAGGTTCAAAAATTAAAAAAGGAGTGGTGTGTGTGAGACTGAGACCAAGAGGGCAAAAGCAGAGGGGAAGAGGGAGGGCAGAAGAGAGAAGTTTTCAGATTTGTTATTGGAGCCGTAGAAGTCATTTCTGACTTAAAGAGTTCCAGATGTGGGCCAGCTTCTGAAAAAAAAAACTTGGAAAGACAAAGAGAAATCAAGTGAAAGGGAGGAGCTGATTTGATCAGAAATCAACCCTCGTATTTTGGTTTGAACAAGAAAATGTAATTTTTTTCCTGAGGGGATGAGTGAATCAACAGATGAGGCTTTGGAACTACTTTCAGGGTGTGGAGTGTCAGGTGGTAAGGTGGTAGAGGGGTCTGTGGCTTTCATGGACCAGTACCGTGTCTATAAAAAGCTCAGGTTGTGAGAAGATCAGTCTGTTGTTATTACACACACACACTTTTTTTTTAAACCAGAAAAAAAAATTCACCAAATAAACCATTAAGACTAAACCAAAAGACATCTGGTTAAACACTGCACAAAAGCTGCAGTTAAACTTATTTTGCATTGAAATAGCAACAACTGGAGCATGTGGCAGCAGTCAAGCCAAGTGGACTGCTTTTACAAGTTTCACGGGTAGATGAAGAAAATGGAGGCTGGGGCTGCTTGATTATAGAAAAATATCATGAAAAGTTTTAGTCATTATTGAAGTCACGATTATTTAACACAACTTGTTTGAAAACATTATCCCAAGTTTACATTTTAGCTAGTTAGCCACCATCCACCAATGATTACATCTTTGCAGAAACTACAAAACCTAAGTTTCATTTATCACGCTAGAATCTACACAGACTACCATAAAATTGCAAGTTCAGGATAAGAACTATCAAAAAATTATTTTGAAGGATTATTAAAATGCTAAACTGGTCATGTGAACAACACAACACAGCAGTGCTATAAAAGCAGAGAAAAACTTCTACAGATGCCAAAGATATCCAGGCTAAGAAAAGGGGTGCCTGTTTTTTAAGGCATGGAAATAAAGACTGAGGTTTCTACCCCACAAAGCTTGCAGAGGACATGGTGATATGTTTAACATGCATTGTGTTTTGCCTTCATTCTGTCATTTATACTCAAAGTAGCTCCTAAAACAGCGCCATAAAATGTTTGTTAGCTCAGCTTTCAGAAAGGATGGAAGTGTTTGTTTTTACAATGTAGTCCTTGAAAAATATTAATTTGTCAATTTTCTAATTAGAGTTGAAATCAAAGCTTAATTACAAATCCAATCAAATGCACAAAGGCATGATTCTACCTCAGACCTCAGATCAGAACCGAGTCTTTATGACCACTACTTTAATCCCTCTCTGTTGTCTCCAATGCACATTGTGTGCTTCCCCGGCATTTGTTTTCAATCCCTCAATATTGGGGTAAGCTGCATGATCACACAACAAAAGGCCATTGTGCTGCAGTAAAGAACTGCTCCAGGGAGCTGGTTGTAGGCCACAAACAAAGGATTGTTACATTGTCCCAACACAAGAATGAATCCACTCAGTGCTGGATGGCCAACACAGCCCTGGAAAGGGAACTGTAGTTGGATTTGACCAAGGCAAGTAGGGAAAATTGAGAAGGGATGGGAGGAAAAATGAGAGAACAGGGAGTGATGCACAGCTGGAGCTGGAGGAGAGATGCAGTCAGGATGGAAGTGGGTGGAAAGGGTCGATCAAAGGAGGAGAGGAACACAGGATGAGGAAATAAAAGGAGGAATCTAAAGACAAAAGCAGAGAGCTGAGACAGCGGAAACTCCTGCCGGAGTTTTAAGTAACATAACAACTCGAATTGCAAGTAAGAATGAATGTAAACCAAACCAGTACATAATCCAAGACCCATTTCCACTTGTGTGAAATTTTCCTAAAAGAAAATGGTTTCTTTGTTCATTAAATATGGCTTAGCTGTTGTTTTCCTCCTCTGACAACTCAAATTAGGAACAAATCAATCAGTTGCTGGTTCACAAAAGCTGCTATTGTATCAAAGTGGGTTGCAGATCACCCTTTCCAGACAGAAACTGTGTCAGAATGAAACACGGTGCCAAGCAGACCACAGGAAGTGTTGGATGTGAAAGTTTAAAAAGTGTCTGAACACATAAAATCCACACAGGAGAAAAAAAGCTACATGCATTTTTTTTTTTTTACCATTGGCGTTCTTCCCGCAGATCAGGTGCTCATAGTGTTGCAGAACTCCCCACAGCTCTGCGTCATTGTTCACAACACCCTCCAGGGCCTCTGCGCTCACCGTGGCGCAACCTGACCCCGGCTCTGGCCCAGACTGGCCCCTCTCGGCCACGAGCGTGCGGATCCCAATCTCCTCCACCAGAGCTTCCATGCACGCAGTCATGCATATTGCTGCGTATTCGTGGATGCGCACTGAGATGCGAGTGTCCACCATCCAGCGGAAAAAGCGCCCCACGGAGAACGTGAGGCCGCAACGGGCGGACTTGCCTTTCCTCAGCAGCTCGCCTGCACTCATACAGTACGTGGAGATGGCCTTGACGGTGGCAGACACGCAGTGGTCAGCCAGAGCCCAGCTGAGCACCAGCCGCATGGCGCTCTGCACCTCAAAACGCGTGCAGCGGCAGTGCATGACGCTCAGGCGCTGCGCCTCTCTGGAGATGCGGATCAGAGCTTTGCGGAGGAGCGCGGACAGACGGCGCACAGAGTCAGAGGAAAACGCAGGTGTAGTCCCCCACTTCATGCTCCCACTCTCAGCCACTCTGCGAAGTATCCTGGCCACATCCTCGTCTGTCCAGGGGAACTCCTCTAGTTCAGGTAAGCGGAGGCACTTGGAGAAGATGTCCTCCGGATCTTCGGGGAGGACAGTGTTGACGGTGTCCCAGCTGTTGTTCCTGCTGTTCATGGAGCCAGAGTAGTACCACCAGTTTCCCCGGTGAGGGGTCGTCATGAAGGCCTGGGAGTTTGACTTGGAGGAGGACAGGCTGAGGGATTTACAGGAGTCCCCCGCTCCGTAGCCCGAATCCAGGGTCAGGTCCTCCAGAGTCTTCATGTGGACATTGCTCAGACCAGCCATCGTTGACCAAAGGCTGGAGGACACTTCAAAGGAGCGCTTTACCTGGAAGTCACTCAATCAGCTGTCGAAACGTCGCGAAAAGCAGGACGGACTGGTTTTACGCAGCGCAACACTCCTCCGACATGCTGGAAAGAGTTCAAACGAGCGGCTTTAGTTACTCGAATTCTCATCAACTTACGCGTAAAATAACTAACTTAAGACGAGTCAGTCTCACCTTTCCTCCAAGCGGCGCAGAAGTTGTAAACTTTGCCCCAATGACGCTCCGAGCGGGTGTTAAAACATGACGGGAAGTCCTTCCTGGCGTCCACATCCAACCAGACGGGAGTTCACGGGGAGAAAACGCCTAGCTTTATCAGTCATGATAAACAACTGCACGTTATTTTGAATGTGGTCGAGAAGCAGTGAATCGACCCAGCTGTTCACCCTCTCCTCATCAGCTCCACTCCCAACAAACACCACCTTCCTTCCTTCCAAAGGGAACTTGCTCCTGGCGTAGAGGCGGGGCCGAGGCTGAATGACAACCCGGAAGGACGTCAAACACCAATCAACACGCGGCCAAATTTTACACCTGCCAATCAAATTGTTCTAAAATCCTTTGCTTGACTGCATGCCTAAACAACCGTGCTTCAAACGAACATCTAACCATTATTATTCATGACCTACATTCCAATGGATGGTAGTTTTTTTTTGTTTTAACTGAATTAAAAAGGCGGAAAAATGTACAAAAGCGATTTGTCAGTTTATTCAGCTCAGCTCAGCCCCCCCCCCCAAAAAAAAATCAATAAATAAAAATAAAGAATAAACTCTTGCTTTAACCAGCGTGTGTGTGAAAATCCACATACTAAAAGCTACATTTTGGATAAACTGTCATAATTTGCCTCAGGTGGAATGAAGCAGACAAGCCTGTGACTACCTGTTTATAATAACATCTCACTCACGTTAGACAATAGGGTGTGTCACCTCTGGGACAAGGTCCAACATGATTACAAGCCGGCGTCATTGTGCTTGTGAGCATCTGAATGGCTGACTTGATATAAACATTACATGGAGTGTTTGTTTAAAAGGACAATACCTGTTTGGGGGGCATGCATGCTTCATGGCTAATGAGTCATTCACCCATGAGGCCTGCATGGGTTGTTAACACTTTGGTCTTGTTAACATTCCAGGTACTGTGCTGCTCAAAGCTTTTCCAGAGAGATGATCACAGGAGAGCAACACTCCAGTCCTGTGTATAGGTGCAACAGCTCTTACGCCATGCCCCACACCCAAAAACGAAGCAAGCAGCAGGGGGCCAACAACTCTGCAGACCTTAAAGGTCAACTTTACTCATATTTTTAATACATTTTCAGTGGGCTCTAGTAGGAGTGAATGCCTTGTTGCTCGTTCTCTGGGGGGAAGCTCCAGCGCGCCTGTTTGAAGCCGTAGAAGTCGAGAAAGTGGCTTCAAAAGACTGGATTTGGAATTTTATTTCCTGATATTTGGGAATCTCCCCTTTGATAGGCTAACAGCATGTACCACTAACAGTACCACTGACTGTGTTTGTTTTGTAGCATTGATATTTTATGCCCACAAATAACAAAGCCTTAAGTTCTTAGTGGAGTTGCTAATGCTAACAGTTAGAATCTACTAGCTGTGATGTTCTCTGCTGTTTCCTGGAAGCTAAACTAGCAAGGCTTCCTCATCATGATGGCTAAATCCAAGCAACTGCTTGATGTAGATCAGTCAAGTTTTCTAATCCTAGGGTTTCACCATCTGTTTTCTATCAGAAGCTAATGCAGGAAATAGGTGGACACAATTTTGATGTTCAGCCTGCTCAGAGTGAGTGAACATTTTCAAAAATAAGTAAAAAATGGTTTCTCACTGAACCTGCGCTTTAAATGTCATCCAAATTTATGTTGGCTCTGCGAGGAATTTAACAAGTTTGTTTCAATCTTTCCTCTGTGTTCGTTCATGAAACAAAAGGAGGTCGATGTGAAACGAATCCAACTTTAATTTGGAAAACTGAGTGATGTCAGAGCCTTAGTATTTCAGATTATCATTTTACCATGTCATCATAATCACGTTATCTTTTAAGCTAACAAAAATATTTAAACAAATTGTGTTGACATCGAGAAAAGTGTAGACTTTGTATTGCATCCCTTGAAACACACGAATTAGCCTCCATGTTTTCTGAGAAGAGAATTTTTGATTCTTTATTATTTTAATGTGTACAACTTAATCTGCTTTCAGAGGTTTTCCCACCTAATTTGACCTCCCTTGCTGGTATATGTGTGGTTAGAGCTCCACCGTGTGGTGGGAAGAGGAACAATGTTAATTTCTCCGCTCAACTTCCTCAAAAGAAACACAAAACCCAGACATAAGCATAAAATTTTATTTGCCGAAAAAAAAGACAAAATCAAAATAAAAGTACAATACATTCTTAAAACCTTTCCTCTACAAAACAATTTCACAGAAATTACCTTGGAATGTATTTTCCTATTTTCTTTGTAAATTCTATTATATATATAGACTATTATTTAACAAGTTTCCTTTTTTAAATAGTCCCATGTCACCATTAAATAATATACAGTATAAGCATTTTTAAATTTTTTTTTGTAAAAAAAAAAAGAATCTAGGAGAAAACAATCAAACAGTCAAAAACGGATCATTTGCTCTCATTTGTACAAATATGTCCTGCTTCCCACCGCCCAGACGCTACCCATCAATACAGGAACCGCGTTTCATAAACAGAAGCATTAGAGGCCTGGCCTCCAGCCATAATAATGGGAGCAGGTGGGATCCTGTTAGACTGCAGCTGCTCCTGGATCTCCATCACACCTTCTGCTCCCTCTCAGTAGTCATTCTCAGCCTTCTCCTTTTCCCCTTTTGCACGCCGACTTGTTCACAAGTCAGTAAAGAGAACACAAGATGTCTCATTTTACAGTGTAGATGAATGACAGCTTCTCAATAAATAACATTTTATTTCTGTCTGTCCCCGCTCTTTTTTGTCTTCAGGACAGAAACTGCTTGCAGCAAACCCGGATAAAGGCACACATTTATGAAACAGCCACCACCTCCACGTTGCGTACAGCTCACCTTTTCATTTTTTTTAATCCAGTATTTGTCATTAAACACTCCCCCGACTCTCGGTGAAGTTGATCGAGATGAAGAGACTTTTTGCTCACTTCTCCGTCACATTTATAGGTGGATTTTAAAATGACTTAAGGAATGGGGAGAAAAATCAGGATGCTTTTAGTCGAGTTTAAAAATGTTTGTGTATAAAATCACCTTGCATGTTACTGCATCATCACCCAGTAAGGATAGAGAAAAATGTTCTAAATAAAAAAAATCAAACAGCAGCATAAACTCTATTTTATGAGTGCTAAATGGTAGCTAACTAATCAGTTTACTACACTTAAGAGACAACATGAGAAACAAATAAAAAAATAAAGTTTTTGAGTATTTATTTCACTTTTTTAAAGACTGTATTCTGATTATCATTATTTATTTTGGAGATCAATGCCCCTAGCTGTTCTGATTAGCTCCAGCTGTGCTTTTCCAAACATCCCTCAGCTTCTCCATCAAGTCTGAATCTATCCGAGCATGATGCACATTCTGTTAGGCTCTCGTGCGAGAGCGTGTTAGAAAAAGATCTTAGGTCATCTTTACATCTTTTTGTTAGCAAAAAAGGTGCTTCAAACATAAGCACACACACACACACACACACACACACACACACACACACACACACACACACAAACAAAAACAGCTGCTTTCCATTCAGTTTGGAAAAAATTGCACCAAAAAGGGACAGAGAGAAGGAGGAGGAAAATATCTCTCTTCTCTCCATACAGTAGTTCAGTCAGTGAGGCAAAGAGAGGACTCAGTCTGTCTGTGGAAACAGCCCCCCCACCCCCCACCCCCGTGTGTCCTCACACAGACAAACATACAGCAGGACCCGGCGGCGAATCAGAGGAGTCCCTGATAGGAGCCTGTTTCAAAAAGGCAGGGTTCAGGCAGTAAGTGAGCTCCTCCTGGACTCCCTCCAACACACAGTAGATCTGCAGGTACGCTCGTACAGACAGGGAGCGCTATCCTTTCTGAGTTTTCTTGTTCTGCGCGTTCCACATGCCTCTTTTCGAGTGGTAGTAGTGAAAGAAGTTCCTCAGGCGAAGTCTTTCAACTTCCAAACCGTTCTGCAGCACCCTAAATAAAGACGGGGAAAAAACAAATTACAATATTGCTGATTTTCATGTTTTCTGACCAATCTCCATGTTAGGTGTTTGCAATCTGTGCAATCATTACAGCCATTTCTTAATGAAAATAGTCGGAGCTAAAATAAGCTGCTGCTGTTGGACCAAAATGTGGCCCCAGAGCCGCAGATTGCAGACCCATGGTCCACACAAATGATGTGTAGACTTGTTTTCCATTCCTGAACAAATAATAGTTGATAGGTTAATAAATGCATGTACCCACCCATTAGGCAAGGGAATTAATGTCCCAAGACAGATGGGATTTGAATATTTATGATCAGAAAATTTGATGAAATCATCTTTTCTTCATATTTAAGTGAATATTTTAGATTTAAACTGACCAAAAACTTAATGCTGACACCACTAAATAAACTAGCAAAATCAGGAGACTGAAGGCTTTAAACTAATTTTCATTTCTTTGTTTCATCATTTTCATTTAATTTTTAATTTAATTCATTTCATTTTGCTTGTTAATAATCTTGTGATCTTTATCATGAAAGTCACATTATAAAAAAATGTTTTCTACTTCAGAAAACTGTCTTAAAAGATAATCTGACATTATCATCAAGATCCATCCATCCATCCATCCATCCATCCATCCATCCATCCATCCATCCATCCATCCATCCATCCATCCATCCATCCATCCATCCATCCATCCATCCATCCATCCATCCATCCATCCATCCATCCATCCATCCATCCATCCATCCATCCATCCATCCTCTTCCGCTTATCCGGAGTCGGGGCTCTGGTGCAGCAGCCTAAGTCGAGAAGCCTAGACTTCCTGCAAGGCGTTCTCCGGCCAGGCGAGAGACATAGTGCCTCCAACAAGTTCTCGGTCTACCTTCAGGTCTTCTCCCGGTTGGACGTGCCTGGAAAACCTCACCAGGGAGACGACCAGGAGACATCCTGACCAAATGCCCGAGCCACCTTAACTGGCTCCTCTCAATGTGGAGGAGCGGCAGATCTACTCCGAGCCCCTCCTGGATGACCGAGCTTCTCACCCTATCTCTGAGGGAGAGCCCAGCCACCCTGTGGAGAAAACTCATTTCCCCATAGGAGAGGGTAGGAACGTAGATCAACCGGTATATCAAGAGCTTCGCCTTCTGACTCAGCTCTCTCTTCACCAAGACAGACAACAGTACAACGGTTTGAATGCTTTAACTGGCAGGTCAACGACTTGATACAGCACAATTTAATCCTGTGTCTTATTCAACAATGCACAAAAATAATCTGAAAAAAAAAATCTGGAAAATATAGATTGATTTGAATAAAAAATTGAACTTTATTGCGATATCACAATATTTTCTCAACTTACTAATAATGTTTTAAGTTGTTTTTAATTTATTTCATATTATAATTGGGGGGGGGGGGGGGCTGCGCAGTGGCGCAGTGGTTAGAGCTGTTGCCCTGCAGCAAGAAGGTCCTGGGTTCGCTTCCCAGTGAAATGTGCTGTATCAAGTCGTTCCCTGTGCAAGTGTGGGTCCGACTTCCCTCCACAGTCCAAAAACATGGCTGTTAGGTGTGTGTGTGTGTGTGTGTGTGTGTGTGTGTGTGCATGATTGTTTGTCCTGTGGTTTCTCTGGGTTGCCCTACGATGGACTGGCTCCTTGTCCAAGGTGTACCCCGCCTGATTGCCCATTGACCACTGGAGATAGGCACCAGCGCCCCCGCGACCCTACATGGACAAAGCGGGTTCAGACAATGGACGGATGGATGGATTATATCTAGGGGATGGCTCAGTTAAAAAAAATCTAATTAGAGGCTTTGTAATTAATTAATCTTGATTAATCACATTTTAATTGTTCAACACATTTTGCCCTGAAGCAATTTTTTTCTTTATTGAAAATAATGTTAGTGAGGCACAGATGACACACCCATACTTTAATGAGTACATTTCTGCAACCACAAGGTCTATTAGATGACTTTGATCTCATAATAAGGGTAATCACTGTGGTATTTGTTTGGATGTGCAAACATTAGTATATGTGTAAGTGTAAATGGACATGGAAGACTGTAAATGCGTAATGAACTGAACACTAGGTGGCAGCAGAGCACTGCTAATATATAGAGGTGTAGTGTAGAGTTCAGGGGACGTTCTGCTTAGGGTCACAAGATTAAAGCTGTGTGTACGCTTGTTCATTCTCCTGTAATAAAGTATATGGATAAAGTAACTGGCTGCCTGCCTCCTACCAACTACAAAACACAAAAATAATTAAGTAGATATTTTTCTTTCTTTTCTTCATGAAGAGTGATTTGTCATGATTCATTTAATTGTAGTGTTATTTGTGTTTGGAGCACATGAAACAGGTTTATATGGTCTTGTAGCCCAGGGTCTGCAGTTTTTTAGAGGTGCAGCTTGTAATATTTATTGATAAATCGGGCGTACATTGTGATGCTAAACTTTAATGACACTTAGGCTCAAGTGATAACTTTTTACATGCAATTGTTTTGTAATTAATTTATCTGAATTAACTCGTTCAATTTCCACCCCCAATTATATTCCTGATTACCTCAGATCAATATGAATGGAAGAGAAAAAAATATGTATTCTATTTTCAAGAAATATTTTTTTTTTCATGATTTTCTCATGAATTCATACAAAAACCAAAAAAGTTTTCAGATATTTCAGTTCACTGACCTGTCCAGCAGTTCCCAGTCCTCTCCACCCCAGCGGTCTTTGAATTCCTCGGTGTTCATTCCCCCAATTTTGTCAAAATCAGACTTATAAATTCCAAACAGGCCAAAGCCATTAACTTCCCAGTAACCTGTGAGAGAAACAGCACGTTTTTAGTCCAACAAAACCAAAACAATAAATAAATATAGAGGCAATGCCATGAACACACACACACACACACACACACACACACACACACACACACACACACACACACACACACACACACACACACACACACACACACACACACACACACACACACACATTTATATATGTATGCATATATATTCATTTTTTTCATATTTTTTGTTGTGTTACCATCAGGCTCCAGCGGAGAGCTGCCACAGCTTAGCCTCATGACAATGGGAGCAAACACAAGCCGTCCCTCCACGCAGTGCTTTCTGATGCTTTCCAGAATGTTGAGAGGGAAGTGGATGTGCAGATCACACAGGAACACAATACTGTGACTATCCTGTAGAAAGAAGAAAAACAAAAAAAAACAAATGCATCAGTCACTTGAGTTTATAACATTTAAATAATCTCTGTTTTCTCTGGTAAAATGAAAAGTGTGCGAGGTGGTGGTGTGTTTATAAGCCTGTGCAACAGAAATGGCTGTTAACACGAGCTTAATACGAATTTTAAGATTCAAAAAGTAGAGAGAAGTTTGAGCTCAGCATCAGCGGCTTGTCTTCACATAAAGAGCCCGGAAGTGATTTAGGCGTGAGTGACGGCTCTGTCATCCCACACTGACAGCGCTGACACTCAGCTGACGGATCAATGTCTGTCCAGATTTCCAACCGCTCTGAGCCCTGAGTGGGTCTGTGCATGATCAAGAAAACCGCCAGAGAATGAAGAAAGGGTGCATCCACACAAATAACCTGTAAAAAGGAGTGGATTTGACAGCTGGGGTACACACAAAACAGAGGACATGATGCTTTCTGTCTGAGCTGCTCCCTGTCATCCCAAGCTTCTCTCTGCGGGAGAGGGGCAAGAGAGTCAGGAGGGGCCTTAGAGATACGGGCGATCAACAGCCTGTGACAGATCCGCCCAGCAGTGATGGATTCATTATGCATGAGTCTTCTTTCCATCTGCCCATCAGCCAGTAAAGGTCATGTGGTCAGTGAGTGTCTGACCTTCTGCCAGAGGCTTTTCTCTGCCACTCTTCCCTCTGTGAGTTTGTTTCTCTAACCTCAATGGTGTCCACTCCAATCTGTAATCCTGCCGACCGCTCGAAGTTTCCTTCTCTTCTGAGGTACTCGTACCTGTCAAAAAGATTAAGAACAATCCCACATCACCATCTGAATAACACTCTGAAGTTTAGTTCAAATTAAAGGCTTAAAAAGGTTTAGAAACATTATTTCAGTCATCATCATTTCTCTCCTAGATAAGTAACAGTTGTTGTATTTTACATTGTTAGACGCCAGAGTATCCACCTCAACTATGAGGAGCAGCTTGTAAGACTTCTGTGGAATGAGCAGCACAGCTGAATATATGGGTAACACCCTCAAATGTGTCCGATTCATCGGCAATGCTCTTACTGTTTTAAGCACATTTAGCTGTGCAGCTAATTCAACATATGTGGAAGCAGGGTACACAAACAGGCAGACACACCAAAGGGCATCCATGCACATCCTCATCTTTATGCTGTTTTAAAAGTCTCCATTAAAATCCTGCAGTAGGTACATATTTTTGGACAGTTAAAGCCCAAGTTCCCAAGTTTTTTAACACACTTGCAGTAGCCTCTAGTCCAAATTAATGTCTTGTGAGTCGATCTATGTGGGGAAAAGAGATCTCATGCTCCTTTTTCGGGAAGTAGAATTTAGCTAGGGGAGAGGTGAGCTTCAGGCGGCAGGATTTAGAGTCCTGTTTCCTGATATTCTGACATCTCTCCTCTGATTGGCTAACAGCGACCTGACTCTACTACCGACTCCATTCGCTCTGTAACATTGATGATTTATCTCCGTAATTGACACAAGCTTGAAGGAGTTCTGCCATGTGGTGCAGTTGCTAATGCTAAAAGTTAGCTTCTACTAGTTGAGATGTTTTCTGCTGTTTCCTGGTCGCTAAACCAACAACAGCCTTCCCCATTTTGAGCCATAGGTGAGTCCTTGAATGCTTGTCAGGCTTTTCTAATAAGAGAGTTTCACCGTCTATTTTCTATCAGCGGCTAATCCAGGAAATACGGGTAGAAGTCTATGTTCACCTTTAGCCCGCATGTGAAACTCAGAGTGACCGGTCACACAGGTCCTTCTCAAAAAATTTGCATATTGTGATAAAGTTCATTATTGTCTGTAATGTACAGATAAACATTAGACTTTCATATATATTAGATTCATTACACATAACTGAAGTAGTTCAAGTCTTTTATTGGTTCTAATATTGATGATTTTGGCATACAGCTCATGAAAACCCAAATTTCCTATCTCACAAAATTTGCATATCATGAAAAGGTTCTCTAAACGAGTTATTAACCTAATCATCTGAATCATCTAATTAACTCTAAAAACCTGCAAAAGATTTCTGAGGCTTTTAAAAACTCCCAGCCTGGTTCATTACTCAAAACCGCAATCATGGGTAAGACTGCCGACCTGTCTGCTGCCCAGAAGGCCATCACTGACACCCTCAAGCAAGAGGGTAAGACACAGAAAGACATTTCTGAATGAATAGGCTGTTCCCAGAGTGCTGTATCAAGGCACCTCAGTGGGAAGTCTGTGGGAAGGAAAAAATGTAGCAGAAAACGCTGCACAACAAGAAGAAGTGGCCGGACCCTGAGGAAGATTGTGGAGAAGGACCGATTCCAGACCTTGGGGGACCTGCGGAAGCAGTGGACAGCGTCTGAAGTAGAAACATCCAGAGCCACCGTGTACAGGTGTGTGCAGGAAATGGGCTACAGGTGCTACATTCCCCAGGTCAAGCCACTTTTGAACCAGAAACAGCGACAGAAGCTCCTGACCTGGGCTACAGAGAAGCAGCACTGGACTGTTGCTCAGTGGTCCAAAGTACTTTTTTCGGATGAAAGCAAATTTTGCATGTCATTCGGAAATCAAGGTGCCAGAGTCTGGAGGGAGACTGGGCAGAGGGAAATACCAAAATGCCTGAAGTCCAGTGTCAAGTATCCACAGTCAGTGATGGTCTGGGGTGCCATGTCAGCTGCTGGTGTTGGTCCACTGTGTTTTATCAAGGGCAGGGCCAATGCAGCTAGCTATCAGGAGATTTTGGAGCACTTCATGCTTCCATCTGCTGAAAAGCTTTATGGAGATGAAGATTTCATTTTTCAGCACGACCTGGCACCTGCTCACAGTGCCAAAACCACTGGTAGACGGTTTACTGACCATGGTATTACTGTGCTCAATTGGCCTGCCGACTATCCTGACCTGAACCCCGTAGAGAATCTGTGGGATATTGTGAAGAGAAAGTTGAGCGATGCAAGACCCAACACTCTGGATGAGCTTAAGGCCGCTATCAAAGCATCCTGGGCCTCCATAACACCTCAGCAGTGAGACAGGCTGATTGCCTCCATGCCACGCCGCTGAAGCAGTCATTTCTGCAAAAGTAGTTTGTAATAAAAACACTTTTCTTTTATTGGTTGGATGAAATATGCTAATTTTATGATAGGAATTTTGGGTTTTCATGAGCTGTATGCCAAAATCATCAATATTAGAAACAATAAAAGGCTTGAACTACTTCAGTTGTGTGTAATGAATCTAATATATATGAAAGTCTAATGTTTATCAGTACATTACAGACAATAATGAACTTTATCACAATATGCTAATTTTTTGAGAAGGACCTGTATTTATAAAATAACAGGTAAAAAAACGTTTTCTCAGTGAACTTGGTCTTTAAGCTTTTGACCTCAATGTTAAGGGGACTAATCAGGGTTTTTAAGTATCTTTAATATTAAAAAGGGATAAATGATTGATTACAACAGGCTTTTACACTTCTATGAGGACTTTTTTCTTCAAGGCTGTTTGTAGCTAACACCCACCTTGGCACGGTGCTCTCTTTCAGCGCCTGCTCCACGTCCATGTCCTCGCTCTCAAAGTCCACAATAATGATGCTGAAGTTGTCATCCTTTGTTTGTTGATGGAGATTTTCCATGTCAGAGATGAACTGCTGCACCCAGCGAGCCTGATTTTTCACTGAAGGACAGCAAAAAGACAACTTGGTCCATAATGTTTATTGACTAGAAGTGTTAAAAGAAAACCCGTACACGAGAAGAGCTTCTGACTGACCTGGCACCACAAAGTGCACCATGACATCTCTCCTCCATTGCAGCATGACGGGCTGACAGAGAAGAGGCTTAGCATAAGTGGTGCTCCAAGGTGTCACTCCAGGGTGCGCGGAGGACCTGGTAGAAGGAGGTGGCTTCTGGGTGGTGAAGCTGGTGGTGGCCGCAGAGGGAGGCGGTGCCGGTACGGAGGCCGGAGCAGAGTCAGTGTTCTCCAGGCTTTCTTCTCCCTGCCTGCCGCGGTGGAGCAGCAGGTAAATGTATTCTGAAAGACGTACCACGTTGCGGCCCCGCTCCATTAGCTCCAGCTCCACTAGGTAACGGTTCCCTCTCGCCGAGTCACGCCTCTTCTCGACGTTGATGATACGCAGCAGGGTGTAGATCCTGCGGTACACACAGAGAACATCTTAGGAAAACAAACGTTGATGGTGCTCACTTTGAAATTCACTTAGATACAGAAGGAGGAGGCTGCTAATGCAAGTCATTCTCAGTGGATTCACTTTTTTATGTGTGTTTAGTCAGACCACTTCAAAGATGCTGCTGCTCATTAACTGTGGTGTTGTGGAACACGACAGATAAAAGAGAAACATTGAACAAAAGGTTGATTTTGCTCTAATACATCAAAGCTTTTGGGACCAAAGCTGCTAATTTCAGAACAATCAAACATTGAGGATGATTAACATGACGTACCGTTGCCTGGGAATGACAAATATAGCAAAATGACGTTGCTTTAAACGAAAATGTTAGTAGAAAACAGGTTTGAGGCTGCAGAGATGCCTCCTTAATGCGTACCCTCCGTTGCGTTCGTTCAGTTTCTCCATGTACTGCGCCAGCACGTCCACCACTTCGCTCTCTGCCAGCTGAAGGTTTCCAGACACGTTGCAGCGCAGGTCATTCCAGTCAGAGCGCAGCAGCTCAAAGTCCATCGGATTAACTGAGAAAGTCCTCTGCCAGTTGATGCTCTCCTCGGCCCACCCCGGCCGAATCTCCACCTCCTCGTAGCTGTAGTCCGACATTTCCCCCTCCTCCGGCTCAGCCTCCGGGTCAGGATCGGGGTGGGGATTAGAGCGGTGTGTGTCTGGGTCGATGCCTGCAGGGTTGGGGTCTGGGTTTGGCTGCTGCTGCGATTCTGTAATCACTGAGGTTCTGAGGTAAGAAGTGACCCGTAACTGACTGTGGACTGGGGTTTCTGTGGAGTTGAACTTTGGAGGTGCAGCTGGTGTCGGGATGGAGTTATGGTGGAAAGATCGTGGACCCAGGAGGTCAGCCTTGACAGTAGTCCTGACGTTCTGCTGATCCCCTTTCCTCCTACTTTTCTCTGGTTTCATTGCCGCTGCTCCTTTGTTAGCAGACCTGTGGGACGTTTGGGTCTGGATGCTTCCGTTGTGAGTTGATGCCTTACTTTCTTTTGTGGGGGGATTTGGCCAAAGTTGGGGGGCACTAATAAGGTGCCTAACACCTGTGACTCCTCTTCCACCCTGTCCTTTGTGACCCACATTGACCAGCCGAGTACTCTTCCCAGTTTGGTACAAAAACACTCCTGGGAAAATCTCCCTAGGGTGGCGCGACGCTCGTTCTTCCCTCCTGTCCCGCCGCTGCTCCCTCTCTCTTCCTCTCTCCTTCGCTGGCCGAGGCCTAGTGACGTAGATCTTGTTCTCCTCCTTCTTCTCCTTTTTGCTGCCATCAGGCTTGTGGCCGACATCGTGGGGGTGCTTGCTGTGGGCCGAGTTGCTGAGGATCTGCCTTGCTCGGCTCGCTAGGGCAGACAGGGACGACTTCTGGGGGAAAAGGAGAGAAGACTTGCTAAGTTTATGCGGCGTCTCAACACCTCCTCCAGGAATTGGACCTTTGGTTTTCTTTAACAGGTCCTGATCTGAAGGATCAGTGTGAATCCAGGACAAAGAGCGTCCCCTAACCACGCTCTCCATGTCTGGCTGCAGAATCCTTGGTTGATCCCCTTCCAGTACCCTCCTGGTGTCTTGTCTTACGCCACCTTCGGCACGATCTCTCCCCCAGTCCCTGTCCAAAACCCTCCCCATCTTTCTCTCTCTGCGTGGAAACTGTCTCCTTTGTCTTTGATGTATGATGTTGTAGACTACTCCCTCTTCTCCTTCCTTAATGCCTTCTTCTTCTCCTTCCACCTCCTCCTCCTTGTCAGCTGGTGTGGGTCCAGTTTTTATGTGAGAGGGGTTCGACGTGCGGCTGGTTTGACTCGGATTGGAGGGTTTTCGGGGAAACTGCGTGCCAACGATCTCTGCTTCATCCTCTGTATCTACCAACTCTTCTTCCGCTAGGAAATCTGGTGTGACGTGAAGGAGATTCAAAGTTATTAGAGTGTGCACTTGCATAAACAAATGCAGCGTGTGTGTGTGTGTGTGTGTTGGTTTGGATCACTGTGACAATTGTGTGTTTGCTCATGATTAGTTACCATCTGGGTTGGGGAAAAAGAACGGTCTGTCATCCTCTTCCTCATCCATCTTCATATATTTGTAGAAACCAAACCTGGCAAACAAAAACGAGAAAACGGCACACGAGCGGCGGCAAAAATTAACCGAAGGTTAATGTTTCTGAGTGCTTTGGAGCATAACAGGTGCAATCGCTAAATAAGAGGTCACAGGGACGTCAAAATGGGAAACAACACCTGCATACGCGCTGAAGTCAACGAGACAGAGACAAATGTCCCTTTGCCTTGAAAATAGATAAAAAAAATGAATGTCCTTACTTTTCCAAGTAGATAGGGGACTCTCTGTAGAAACACTTGTTCTCCCGCTCCATGTGTGTGAGACGTGTGAAGTCATTAGGGTAGACAAACGATAGGTAGACCTGAAAAATAGTTTCATATCACAAACCGTACGTCGTTTGTAAACCAGTTTCCCAAATCTGCTGCTGCAGTAACACACAACGCCCTGTAGAGGGGAATAGTGCTCAATATCTACTTTTTAATGTTTTGGCACAAAGAGAAAAAGGCTGATTTACTACCAAAGATCTACAAATCTGTTTGTTGCATTTGTGAAGTGTAAAATAAAAGCCTCTTCTTTTTTTGACTTACAAACTGCAGGCCCTGGTATCTGGCGATGGGAAAATCTTTAACTACATAGGTTGGTGAGTAGAGACAGGCTGGGAGGGTGTTTTCCAGGCGGGAGGGGTCAATCATTGGTGCTGGAGAGAGGGAGGGAGGGAGGGAGGGAGAGAGGGAGGGAGAGAGAGAGAGAGAGAGAGAGAGAGAGAGAGAGAGAGAGAGAGAGAGAGAGAGAGAGAGAGAGAGAGAGAGAGAGAGAGAGAGAGAGAGAGAGAGAGAGAGAGAGAGAGAGAGAGAGAGAGAGAGAGAGAGAGAGAGAGAGAGAGAGAGAGAGAGAGAGAGAGAGAGAGAGAGAGAGAGAGAGAGAGAGAGAGAGAGAGAGAGAGAGAGAGAGAGAGAGAGAGAGAGAGGAGATTAGTCAGAAAAAAATGTCCAGAAATATGTTTAATTACACTTTGAAAAGGAGATATTTGAAAAGAAAATGGAGGAAGACAGAAAATGAGAGCCAGCAGGCTCCATTAGAGAATTAAGTGTCTGAATGCTGCATAAATGGCGGCTGCTGTGAGGTGAATAAACAGGTAAATGAGCTTTTAGAGGAAAGAAAATCATGGATCAGAAGTTTAATTATGACAGGACTTACTGCTATAGAAGGTGTCTCTGGGGTCTGGTCTCAACATGTCGGCTCCGTGCTGCACATTCAGCTTTCCCTCTGGACCCCGAGGCCAGGACACTTCAGGGAGACGGATATGACTGGCCAAGGTCTGAGGGATGTGGTCCACACTATTCATCTTCAGACTCGACTCATCTGGAAGGCAAAAGGAAAGGAGAATGATGTGGAGGAGCAAGGAAAATGATATTTTTGTGTTTATTATCAGTACATTTTCAACATTAATGTCATGAGAAGTGAAAAGGTATTAGAATAATGACAAGATTCTATGTAATCTAAGGAAAGTTTTGGAAATCTAGACAGAACAGAGCGGTCATAATTACACCAATCAATAACAGGGAAGAAGGGGAGAGCATGTGATTAATGGCATGTCAGGAGGAAGGCCTGATGGGAGAAATGCTTTATAATTTACAGGGTGGGAGGTGTGTGTGTGTGTGTGTGTGTGTGTGTGTGTGTGTGTGTGTGTGTGTGTGTGTGTGTGTGTGTGAATACACTATAGACAGTAAGCTGGTTTTAAACTTCAATGTTTAAAACAATAAGACATCTGCTGCTCACATGCCTTACACAGACATACACACACACATATGCACACGCATGTACTCACACACGTATGCATACACACACACACACACACACACACACACACACACACACACACACACACACACACACAGTCACGCACACACAGTCACGCACACAGGCACATGCACGTGAGTGTGTGTGTGTGCGTGCATGCCTGCATGCATGTGTCAAACACATTCATGCACTCACAGACAGACACACACACTCGCACACACATGCATAAATAGACAAGTACACACACACACACACACACACACACACACACACACACACACACACACACACACACACAGCCACACACACACACACACACACACACACACACACACACACACGAGCATAGATGGGTGACCTGCACATGAGCCACAGCGTTGTTCTGATGTGTCACTCAAACACTGCCATCACATCCATTGTATAAACGTGATTTATAAGATATTTTAACCCAATAACATAATGCGCCTGAAAAACAAGCCAAAAATCTTCTGAGAAGAGGTTTGTGCGTGAAAGTCTTAGAAATGCTGAGTCAATAAACGTTCTTCTCAAACTTCAAACACTGAGGGGGGAGGGGTGTGTGGTAGGAAATGATGAGACATTAACGTCTGAATCCAGCAAGTGACATCATCCAGCGCGTGAGGCCTCAGTCTTCTGCGCCACAACGCGTCATAAACAGGATCTGGGACGCATCCAAGCAACACTGCAGCGTTGCCCACAAAGTGACAACTCCACGCATCATTTTCTTGAGCAGCTGGCATTTTCTACAGCTTACTGTCACCGACTCCTCGTGACACATGAGCATTCCCGGAGCTACAGAGGTTAAGCATCTATTTAGGTGGGAGCTTTCTCCTCTTTGCTTCAAATAAAAACTAAGGGAGGAAATGCAAAAGTCTGAGGAATTTTTCCAAGTGAGATTTGCAACTATCATTTGAGGGAATAATAAAATAGTACAGAATTTTAGTGTTAGTGCTTCATTCTCCTAATTAGAGAAATAAAAGCATTTATCATGTAAAACTGCGGATTAAATAAGTTGCTTTGTGGACATGTGTGTGGATGTGTGTGCTCTAATTCTTCCATTTTTTATTCTTGGGGAAGGTCCAACAGGAGAAATAAATAGCTCTTACCTGTGTACAGGGAGATGTAGGCCGAATCGATCACTTCGTATTTAAGGCCAGGGAGGAATGGACGCCACTGTGAGAAAGAGAGAGGAAGAGAAAGAAAGAGTGAGCGAGTGGAAAAAAAAAACTGAATGCCAACATGTGAAAAGTAAAAAGGTGAGCAGGAATCATCCATCCCTGTTTGCCAGCTAAACTGTGATATTCTCTGTGTTATTGATCTGAGCCACATCACGGGATCAATCTGGTGCTTTCTCTACGAACACGCGTTCAGAGAGAGAGAGGAGCGATCAGAAGGTTTATTGTTGCATCCTGAAATGTGACACCAACAGGGTTTGGAAGAAAATAAGTCAGTAAAGCAAAAAAAAAATACAAGAACACGATCTCGTGAATGAGCCGACAAAGTGTAAAGAAGAAGAATCGACTAATGATCTGCAAACAGAAAATCATCACAGAGAGAGGAAGGAAGAGAGGATGAGGAAGAGAGACAGGCTACAATTCTTTCTAATGGATTTCACAATTACCTCGTCACTTCTGCTTACTGAGGATATAATCATAGGAGACGGGTCATTTTCCAAGGCTTTATTTGAGAATACAAACACAAACACCCACCTCAGACCCATGCAAATGGCCCTACGTGTGTGTGTGTGTGTGTGTGTGTGTGTGTGTATGTGTCCATAAACTAACACACACACCTTCTATAATCCAGTTTTGAGATCCCTTCCCAGATGCCTCAACGCCCACGCATATTCTGGGCCACCTGACCTCAGGAATTCACATGATAGGGTAGGGCCAGGCTTCACGATGAGCTCACCCGAAACTCTGGCTGAATAGGACCCACACCCACCCTCCCACCTTGGCTCATGTGTTTATGTAGAAGATCATCAGGGGGTCTTTTGTTCCCTCTTTGGGGGGAAACTCCCACTGGGTTTAAATCTGGGACTCTCCACCATTTGACCTTAGAACTGAAGAAGCCTCTCGGATGAGAGGTGAAACGTCTTCAAGCAACTCAAAGAAGTCCAGATGCTTTTCTTTCAAAGCTCATTAGACTACAATGACCTGGATGACTGAGAACCTTCACAGACACACGCCTTAGGTTTTAATGGTATTTCATAAGCCTCACGTTGATTAAAGCACAAACCTTAGGGAAACATCAACCAGCTGTTTTCTACTGCAGCAAATAGGAGTCACTTTTAAGATTTTACGCATCAAAATCATAAGTTTTCTCAAAGTAAACAATCTAAACCGTAAAATACGTCTCACTACAATCATCTTTGACACTGCTGCTTCAGTTTGCCGAGGTTCATCAAGGCTCAAGAAGTAAAATGGGTCATCCAGTAATGAAAATGTTATTCTGCTTGGGCAACACGCTGCACCTTAAGTCGCTTTGGATAAAAATGTCTGCCAAACGCATAAACAACATAAACATAAACAGGTTTGCAGACATTTGTTTCAGAAAGTTCCATCATCAGGCTGAGGTCTAGATTCAAGACTTGATTTGCAGTCACGTTTGGGATCATTGTCTGACTACGTCTTACTAAGTTTAAAGGTGTGGGAAACTCATCTAATCACTACACCTGCAGTGCTCTCTGATAAGAATAAACGCTACGCAGAGAAAAAGAAAGGTCCAGAATTGCTTGGATCAGCACGGACAAGTCTGCTGCAGCTGAGCGGCAGGAGACGGCAGGATTTTCAGTCTTATTTCCTGATATTTGGATATCTCACCTCGGATTGGATGACAGCAATGTGACTCTGTCACTGACTTGCAACGTGGATGTTTTATCTCCACAAATCACCAAGGGGTCATTTTGATCAGAGTTTTAAGGAGCCAACACGGCTTCTTAAAAATAAAAATTGGCTCACAAATTTTTCTAACTCTTTAAAAATCCCATCGACATGAGAGTGAGGCTGGAGACTAATGCAGCGAAACTGAGAAGCTTCACAAACGTTTTAACCCTCAGGCTTCATTAGGGACATTTTTGCCCATTTGGGCAGTTTTTTGTTTTTCTTTTTGAGGCCATTCCACCACCGTTTGTGCATATGGTACAAAACTTTGTCGCAAAACCTCTCTCTGGACAAATTTTGGAATTTTAAAAATAGACCAAGGGAGCACTGTGGGAAAAAAACACGAGACTTTAGAGGACAAAAAAGTCCACTTGTAAAAGTGGCTATAAAAATGTATACATTAATATTTTTATTTGCTTTTTTTTTGTCATAGATCTATTGAACAACTTCAGCCCTGCTCAAACAAATAAAAATTGCAATCATTTTGAGGATTTTAACCCTTGAAATGCCAGGTTAAGTCATTGCTGTAATGTATGACCCCCCCCCCCCCCCCCACACACACACACACACAAAATTGAGTTATTTTCTAAAAAAGACATTTTTTTTGCCTGGGATGTTTAGTACAAATCAGTCTTGATTATGTTATGAAATATCTAAAATCAAGAATGTTTTGCATTTATAGTTTTCACATAGAAACAGATTTTAACTTTAGTATATACTCAAGCCATTAGAGGACAAATACGTCCACTTTTAAAACAGCTTTAAAATGGTCCAGATTAGGTTTTTTTTTATTTAAATTTTCTTTTTTTTTTGCTGTTTGGGTCTAAATCTTGTGATCAATTTCAGTTCTGATCAAAAAAATCAAATATTGAATTTCTTTTCAGATACTTTTTATTTTCCTCATCAACACTTAATTGCCATCAAAAACATTTGATAAGCAACAGTTGAATGCTAATTAGCTCCCAACAGCAAAGGAAGCCGCAGAAGCAATGTCATTTACCCATCGATGATTATTCTCAGCTTTATTTTGGTTGATGATGTGTTTAGAACAGCAGCATCCATTCTCTGTCCTCGAGAGATACCATGGAGCAGAAAAAATTCTACAACAAGAAGGAATATGGACCTCAAAGACCAGCATCGGACATCATCACTGACTGAATACTTTTGCTTTCTAATGTTAGGACCTGATAACGACTAGGCATCATTAGACTATATTCGAGCAAATAAATGAAAAAGAGTGCTTATGAAGCTGAAATTACATGCGAGTTCATGGTTCACACCCTAGATGGTGCGCTGGCTGAAAGGTACACAAACTGTACCCGCAGAAGGGCACAAAGAGAGCATCAAACAAGGACACATGTATAATGTCACGCTGCGCAACAGCAGGGAGCAGCACAGCAAGGCACCAAAGACTTTAGCGTTCTGCCATTTTTTCAGCGTGATTGTTTTCAAAGGCGAGCTGTCAGTGTTCGAGTCAAATCAGGACAAAAGGCTTGGCCTACAAAAGAGTTGGCAGAGGTATACTTTCACCTGAAACACACAAAGAAAAAAAGCAGAGCCAGCCATGAGCAGTGGATGGATTTTATTCAGCCTGAGCTGTGGGGGTGCACATCAAAAATGAGAAAAAATATGTCATTTGGTGACATCAATAATACTGTAAAGGCAACAGGGCGTTGCCTGGTGTGCAGGGGCGTGGCCAGGGAGTGGCCTGGGGTAGAAAATGCCACCCTTGGAATCTGATTGGCCACCCCAGGTGCCACCACACTGAATTCCCTTTAAATAGGCTTTTCATTGTCCACAAAAGGTTTGGGGTTAAAAAAAAAAGCATAGCCATTGGTGCCACCCATGCTCAAAGTAGTACCTTACCTGGGCCACCCTATTTTAAAAGATCTGGACACGCCACTACTGGGGTGGGATATCAAACAGGCTAAAATGCTACAAAGCTAGTTAGAATGGTGAAGGTAAAATGTGCTAATTGCACTTTTTATGCATTGCTTAAAATAGCAAGCATAAAATGTTGACCGATTAGGCTTTTTTCCACAAATCAGCCAACCATCCAAATTCCACAGGTTTCCTTTGATGCTTTTGGGAATAGTTCATTGTGTTTTCACCTTTGAGCAGGTTAAGCCTAAAAGGTTTTACTCCAGTTTTTTTAAGTGACTTAAAACGTTTGTTTTACATCGCTCTTTGAATGACCTTTATTTGGAGAAACTGATTATTTCTGATTGGTGAGCTAACGGCTGGTAAAAATAGGGCCAGGCTAATTCTGCAACTTTACAAAACTCTCATCTAAAAAAATGAAGCAAATATTTGTTTCCATAAACTTTTGAATTATGGACATTTACAAAAAATAAAATTTAAAAAGTATGACAATTTTCTTAAAAATGTATAAGTAAAAGTGTCAGCTATTATAAAAATTTTAAGATTAGAATCAGTTTAAGGAAAACAAAAACCCATCTGAACAAGATGTTAGCTTCATGTGAACTTCCAGGTTCATCCCAGTGACTGTATGTATGATATGGTCAGCTCCGTCACACGTGTGTTTCTGAAGAGCTGAATTGACGCCCACGGGCAGATTCCACCACTGCCATCTTGGTCGAGTCATGCATCTCATCACTCCCGGAAAATACAAAAACGGAGTTGTGAACGGAGTGAGGGTGGGGACAGATGATTGACACCCAACAAACTCTGAGCCAATGTAGCTACAAGCTAACTGAGCTAACCAAAGCTAACGAAAGTTGGTGGGTGCTTTGAGCCAGAAAACTGCAGTTGAGTGACCTTTTGCCTTTTAGGCTGTAACTCATGTCAGTTATCCAGCAAACAGTAGGGGAACTCTTTTCAAGGTTTAGATCACAATTATATTTTATTGCATTATCAGGTTTATCCACAAGTCAACTTATAACGCATAACTTTTTTACTCGATGACATCACCACCAGCCTCGCTTTCCAATGACCAGCATGCTAGCCGTCGTACCGACTGCTACTGGGAGTTTTGGCTGAGTTATAGTTCTGGGAGTCCTAGTGTTAATAGTGTTTTTTTTTTTGTACCAAGCTATAAACATGTTTATTTCTGTTGTGAAGTTGGCCTTTTTAACATGTGAGTCAATGGTGCCAGCCAGATGAGGGGGAACTGCAACTTTTGGCACTTCCACGTTGGTTTTACTTTCAGCAGGCGGAGTTCGGCCCTTGGTTTATCTTTTTCAAGCGTTTGAAGAGGAGAACACACACAAATTCAAAATATACAAGCGTTTTTACACCTGCAATGCTTTTTAACAACAAGGAGAACATTTT